TGTCCCCGCGATAACGACCGAGACACGGCCGCAGCCGGCATAAATTCAAGGCAAATATCGATCGGCCGGACTGTCATTGTATCCGGCGACGACCTGCATTGAAATTTAAATCGCGCCCTCGAACTTTCGATCGCGTCGCGCACCGCACGAAAATAGCGATCCTCGGCCTTGACGCTTTCGAACGAACGTCGTTCTCCGATTCGGCCGTTTCTCTCGATTTTCCCGGCTCGTTCGTTAGCGCTCGCTAAGCGTCCAGGTACCCCCATACGGTTTCGCCGATCTCGTAACACGCCATTAGCCCGGAGGAAAATGAACGCGCGCACCGCGTTAGCGCGAGCCGGAGAAACTTGCGCAAACTCATCCGAGGGATTTTTACGCCTACATAGACGGTGCATCGATTCGCGCCGGTCCGCCGCGAACTATCTCGAAGCGATCCTGCTCGCCGGCGATCGCGACGACGACCATTCGCGGTACGCGACTATGCAACTGTGCGTCGCGACTGGTGCAACGCGATCCGACGCGACGGGACGAAACGATTCCTCGGTGAAACGAGCGACGCGCGAACAAAACACTATTTTTACATCGCGCGGATTTGTTTTCGTCGCGAGCAAGCACAATCGATGCCCGATGGAATCTCACGGGAGCGGCGAGAACACCGAAAAACTTGTTGATGCTCCTTTTCGGGAATTTTTCCACGCCTCTCCCGAAACTGGCCACCATAAAGCGAGGCGGAACCAAGGTGGTTCGCGTGTCCCGCCGGACCAGAGTTTGCGAAATATTAACGAGCGTCGCGTGGACCGGGGGATCCACCGACCCCGCTTATTAGAAACGCTCGTAAAACTGGGTAGAAGGACAGACCTCAACTCACCGGGACCGTGCACAATGAGAAAAGAATGGAGAGAGAACGGCGAAAGAATGGCGAAAGAACGGCTGGCTGGCTCGCGATCGTCGGATCAACGACTCGCAGATCGTCTCGACCCGGTTCTCCACGCACGCCGAGTCTCGGAACCAGTGGAACCTTTAATAATCGAAAGAATAAAAACTCGAGACTCCGCGATCCCATGGTCGTTCGGGTAATTATCGCTCCCCTTTGCTCCCTTCTCGTCGTACTCGGAGTCTTTCAGCGCGTCGGCCGCTTCCAGGTTTAGAAGCGTCGAAAGAACCTTACATCGCGGTTCCCCGAGTCGACGTTTCACGGAAAAACTACCGAACGTTCGTCGAATTGAACATCGTTGAGAAATCTACGAAACCAGACGACGCAGGTTCGATCTCGTCCTCGGAAATTGGAAACCTCGCGAGTCTCTCTCGCGACGGGACACCGTGAAATTGCCCGGAAACGTTTAACGAGGAACGGGTCTCGAGACGACGAGCGGGAAAACGAGCGGAACGAACAAAAAGAGCAGCTGTTTTGACGGGCCGACGAAAAGTATTTAAAGAAAGGGGCACGAAGCGAGGCGCGGATCAAATATTGATCGTCGAGGTCCGTGAAAGCCGCGGAAACAAAGAAACCCGTTTGAGCGCGTCGCGCGCAAGGGGAAACGGCCGAGCAGCCGAAAGATCGTTCTGTTTTCGTCGATCCCGTCTAGAATTTCGTAGCTCGCGACACGATTGCACTTTGCTCGCGTAGATCCAGCCGCGGTTCGACGGAGCCTCGAAAAAGGGTGGCGTCGGGCCGGCCGAGATATTCGCGGCATTCGAGGTGCAGTTTTCCAGGTGCGGTCTACGCTCGAGTTTCGGTTCGTTTCGCGTTCTCCGGCTGGGTAACCCGACGGATTTCGACACCGCGGCGACACTTCAAGGCTACCACCACGGGCCGGGGGACTGTTACATGCGCGACCGTTCGCCGGTTTCGGTACGCTCGGCTTCGTTTCTTCGCTCACGATCGACCGGTCGGTCGGTGAACGGGCTCGCGCAGCATCTCGCCGAGGGAGAAAATAACGCGGCGAGAGCACGCTCTTGCCTACGTGACTCCCGCTCCGTAGAGATCAAGCACAATCAAGGCCGCGAACGGCATCAAGCGCCATCGTGCACGACATTTCTCTATCGATCTACCGCCTTTTCCTCTCTTTTCTCTTCTTCTCTCTTCTTTTCGCCGAGCGGCACTGCATTAATTCAACATTAGGAAAACTTTCGCAACCTTTTCCACTCGTTTCGATCCTCCGTCGTTAACCCGCTGCCACATCGAAACTTCACCGAGACCGACAACCCGACTGCGAACGGTCGCTACAAGCGAGACGGGTCTCCAATTTCGAATTACAAGACTACAGTCCGTGGATGCATGGAACACGCGAATTCTCGCGGCAACGAACGTTCGACACCGATGGAAGGAATTCCGGTGAAAGGGGGCAAAATCGAGGCGACTCGATCGAGAGACGACGATGGCCGCAGTCGATCATCCTCTGGCCAGGTTAAATGACTCACTGTGACCTGGCCAAGCGGTCAAGGTAACGCGTTTCGTAACTACAGGTGCCTTCACACCTGCATACCAATCGCTAGCTGCGGAGAGACAGGAGGAAGAGAGAGAGAGAGAGGGAGAGAGAGAGGGAGAGAGAGAACGACGCGAGACGCCGAGGGAAGGGGCGTCAGTTTTTTTCTTCTCTCGACGCGTGTCTGTAACCTACTTTCAGCCAAGCCGAACGACGCGCGGGCTCTCTGCTCTTTCGAGTTAATTAACCCACGGAGACTTACGAAACTGAACCCGTGTATCTCCGGCAGAAACCCGAACGCGTAACGGCGAGCGTGATTCGCGAGACCACGGTCGTTCGCCCGGTGGATCCTCCGTTACAGGCACCGGGTGCTCCTACATCGGGAGAACAACGATCCGCGGATGCGGGAAATTGGATTAATGGAGAGGAGGATCCTACTTCCTCCAACGGAACATCTTTTCAGGAACGGATCACGGGGAATCCAGAAAAACTGGATAAAAGGCACGCTCAACTTTCGGAGAAACGAGTTTGCCGTCTTTCCTTGTTTACGCGTCGGAAATGCCCTCCCTTTGATCGGTCTCTTTTCCCAGAGCTGTAACGGCGAAGGGCGATGAACCGCCGGGCGGAGGAAGGACGGAGCGGAAGATAGCTTTTTCTCGCGCGCATAAATAATTCAAGATCGTCGCGATCTTTACGACACGCGTGGATCGGGCATGTATTATTTATCGAGCAATCGGGACACTGGTCGAAAAAATGTAATGAAAAGAATCGAGTTGTAGTATATTCTCGTGTGTCGCGGTACCTGGAATCGAATACGGGCAAGCGTGTAGAAAGCAACGGACGCGATTCTCGTTCGCTCCAGGCTATGGGTTAAGCTCCGTCGACGTTCGATCGATCCGAGGATGCGATTAGCGCGCGGAAACGAACATCCTGATCGGGGAGCGATCGAGTTTCTGGTCGAATATCGTGGATCGATCGTGGAAATCTAGAAAGCGATTTCTTCGGTGGATTCTACGAAGAAATCGGTGCGCAGCAAAATCGAAAGGAAAGGGAAGGGGAGTCGAGGAGGCAGAAATTAGAGAAGCGGAGAAGAGAAAAATAAGGCTCAGTCGAGCTTGTTGTCTGAACTCACCGGCGTAAGTGCTCTTGAAGCTTTCGTGAAGCTTGAAGGTGAACGGAATGTGGACCTTCATCATCTCCATCTGGGGTATACGTGGCGAGTGTGTCATTACAGTCCCGCTGCCGCCGAACATCAATTCGTCGCCGTGAATACGAAGTACGATCATGTTCCTGCGCAAATCAATTGTACCCTTCCTTTTAATCGATCCATTCTCGGTTAAAAATAGCCGGTAAATGTCGCCGCTTATGCTCGACCGATTCTTCGATTCCCACACAGATTATACTATTCTACCGGGTTTCTACCTAAATCACGCTGAAAGATAAGAATAACGATTAATATTTCGACTCGAATCGCAACGTCTGTTCTCACCGTCGATGTCCGGAGGAAGACCGACAACCTAAACTCCGAGGAAAACTTCACGTGTAATTCCGGCACGTGAATTCCGCACGATAAAGTACCTACTTACATAGTATCGTTAATAGAAGATCAATTATGAAGCAGCACGCCCGCGGGTCAAACGAATCAATTATACGATAATAGACTCTTACTGTTCGGAGTGACTGATCTGAATATTCAACGAGCTTTTTTCCCTCGTTTCTTTTCGCGTTAACCTTCAATGAACATAATACGCTTGATCGACGTACGATCATGTGCCAGCAGTGATTCATTTTCCTCGAACTCGGCGCAGTTATTTCCTTTGATGATACGATAATATTCGATGCGGAGGCATGCGCGGGGTTCAGCGCGATTAAACGTTCCCGAGAACTAATTTCGGTCTCTCTTCATCGGTACAATTTGGCGCGACTGTCGAGCAGGTGGAAACGACTCGCTCCGAAACAAATCAAGCAAAGGCAACTCGAATGCTGGTCGGTTCCAGTGTCGAACAAAGGATTTTCGAGCGGTTCGTGTAACGCAACGGGATACAACGTTTTCTCGAAAAGCAAATGGCAACCCTTGAACCGTGAGCCGCGCGATTTTACGCTCATTTCGACAGGAGTCTCGATCCTTTGTGCGCCGCGATGTCGATTGCGAAAGCTCGCGCGACCGAGTGAAAGCACCGATTTCAAAAATCCCTGTACACGGTTGTTCGTTCGAGTTGTTCGATCCGATTTCGTAAATCAGGGAACCAAACGCGCCTCGTTCCGCGCTCTTTGCGGTCTTTGCGCCTATTTTCGTCCGATACGAACCGCGATAGACGAGGCTCGCGAGCGGCGTTACAACATGTTTATCCTGTCATTTTTCCTTTACGAGCAATTTGCATACTGTTGTTATCCACTGTGACAAATCATTTTTATTTAATCCATTTTTCCGTTTCCTAGGTGTCATTAAGAATCGTTAAAACAATATTGCAAGTTCAGCGTGTTCAGGTTATAGAATTTTTTGGCGTTCCATAAAGGAAGGAGAATCGTCGATTAGCGACTCAGCAAAAAGGCGACTATTTTTTCTTCGGTTCTGTGCGCGCAAAAAAAGAGAACGTTCAGTTCCGTCGGAGTGTATTTTATACGATCATTTCACGTTTTCAACAGGCAATATCTCCGACACGATGTAACTAATTACAACCGATCGATCATTGCCGCTAATTTCCAATTGCAATCGCGAGAGAAAAGGAAAAAACAGACATCGCTTGAAAGTAACGATTATCGAATGCAACGCACGTGACGCAATTAACGGTAGGTTTGAGTGATCGTTAGCAGCCGGCGATCGTACGAAATTCCGAGCAATGCCGGCGCGCCCGGCGAGCGATCAATCGAGCGACAAAGGCTTCGTTCGTCCCGTTGTTCGCCGTTCCCAACGTATCAAGGTGCGAACGACCGCGAGCATCGTTCGACTGCCAATGTGCCAATAACCCCGCGGCCATGAGTCGGCCCGCCAGTCTGCCTATCGCGCCGCGCGATCGCGCAATCTTCTTGCGAACTATTCGCGAATCCTCCACGCGAGCAGCCGGCGATGCTTTCGACGAAAAGTTCCGTAACCGAGGGAAAAGAAGAAGCTAGCGGAGCCCCGGATCGCCGAACCAATAGGTTTCGACAGAAATTCTCCGCGAGATTGCGAGATCGCGAGATTGCGAGATCGCGCCTTTTCCAAGCTCGATTTCAATTTGAAAGTCGGCGAAACGCCGATTTCTGGCTTTCCCGGTTCCTTTCGAAACGGGACTCGCGCGATTTTGGTTTTTAGTTCACGCCGGCCGCGGCAGCTTTCTCCTTTCGAACGGACGAATCTTACGGTTCCCGCTAAGCGTGGTCGGCGCAGTTTATGGGAACGAAACGTTGGGATTCGGGTCTGCCGTTGACCTTGATACCGCTCGTCGCGAACGTCCACCGGGTCTGGATTTCGGTGACCGGACGATTCGAAAGGTGCTACAGATTTTTACCGTTCCGCCACGCTCTCTTCTTCGTTCGATCGAGTTCGTTTTACGACGACGCGTTCGCAGATTCGTCTCGATCGGCGCTGTCGAGTCGCGAGTCGCTCGGAGAAATTCCGCGTAAGCCGGTCGACGCGCGAAATTCGCGTCCCGTCGTTAATGAACGGAACTCGAGGCATAGTTTCAATCAACGACGAGTCTCGCGACTAACCCGTGAGAATGAACGCGAATTTCCATGAGCTTCCGCAATGCGACGGCAACGGGAACTCCATTCAACGCGGGTTTACGAGCTCACGCGCGAATTAATGGAATCTGCGGAAGTTGCCGACTTCTCGCCGCGAATTTCATCCGAGGATACATCGCGACGATCAAACGAACGAGCGCACGGCGAAGACACGATACTAGACAGCAGCGATCAATTGTTCCCTAGAATCAATTGTTTCCTGAGCGGGAGCTGGAAGAAGGCGAGAAGTCTCGACCTCTTTCGATCGAAGACAATTGGCGTCGCGTTAACGTCCGCGGAAATCCTGACCAAGGCGATTCATTCGAATATCAGCGAATACCGCCGGTATCGAATTCGGTCGTTCCGCAGGACGAAAGAGAGTTGCTCGGTTCTACGGCTATTCTCGAAAACTAAAATAAATAGAGATCCTGGAAACGCGGCTCGGAAACTGCGAACCAGCGGATGATCGTAGAAAGTCCGTTTCGCAGGTTCGAAGGCTGAGGGAGGACGTTGCATTGCTTTCTGTTGCGATAGCGTTTAGCGGATCCGTCCGACAACCTCGCACAGTTTGCCGTTCGTTTGCTCGCTGTTCACGAACGCGCTGCGGCGCGTCACAGACACCGAGAAGGAACTGATAACGGGATTTGCATCGGCAACCTTGGCCAAGAGATCGCTCAGAACAGCGAGAGATCGGCGCGTGGTTTCCTATTCTTCTATTAATCGACCGATCGGTTAACACGCTAAGCGCCACGAAAATCTTAAGCGTTTTCCCATAGAGTTTGTCGTTGGGTCGTCGTTCCACTCGCACGCGGAGAAAGAGCAAACATCGGTCGCGGTAGCGTTTCTCGTCCGCGAAGCCGAAAGAGCGTTTCGAAAGATCGCGTCGAACGTGATCCGCTGGCCAGAAGCGAGTTTCCGCAGGCAAAAAATCCGCTCGATCGCGTCTGTTTTTGCGCGAAAGTTTGGCAAACACGACGACATACAAGGCAAACACGGGAAAAAACAGCAAGAGAACGGCAAACCTCTCGGGAGACGGTGACCCGCGATCCATTATCCGGTTCTGTGTTTTTTGTTTTTCGCCGGAATCGAGGAGAGGCGCGTGACACGAAGGTCTTCGGACGCGATCGAGCGACCCTCGAAAAACTAGCCACCTCCGGATAAAGAGGATCGAGCTAATCAATTTCTTGCCGCGACCCGCGCGACCAGACGCGCCGCGGTCTTACCGTTCGGGACTTGTAGCCTGCCGACCTTGACGATCATTCCACGCCGCGAATCGCAAACGACAGTCTCGAACGAGGACTGAAATCGGCGACGTCGGCGTTCGTTTCGACAGAGGAGCCCGATCCGACTCGGTCTCGGTCTCGGTCTCGGTCTCGGTCTCCCGGAGAGAAACGATAACGATCGCGCGACTGTTACCGATCCTCGTTGTCCGAGGATCTACCCTTAGCGGGTTCGAACGCCGACGACCTTCGAGTCTGCTGCCAGAGACAAGAACAAGCGCTCGGTTGGCCAACGGAGTCTCGTTGCGAAGTCGCGTTACAGGATGACGTACGATCCGTCGGGACCTGTTACCCTCCCCGATTTCTATGGAATCCTCGAAAGTAACACCGCCGAGGCGAACGCGTAAAAAAGCTACGGGGCCGGCCGATGTGTATCTTGGATTTTTGCCGGGGACCGTGGAATATTTACGAAACGCAAACCGGAAACACGCTTGCAAAAAACCCGGATGGCCAGAGAGGGAGGATGAAACCGTCGGCACCGCGTTGCACCATCCTCGGCCATTATGCAATCGAACAACGGGAATAACCGAGCGGTCGCTTCTCTACGCGTCGCTAATCTTTCGCATAAATATTGTTATTGACTCGCCAAGTATTTCGCGGCGCAATAAAACTGTCGGCGAGTTTAATTTCGAGACGGGGAACAACGGCCGGTTGTACGGTTCTCTTTCGCGTCCGTTCGAGCTCGGTGTTTGCCGAGGGATTTCCACGGTACACCGATAATCCCGTTGCACGCTGATAACAGCTGTCCCGCCGCGTTCTTTCCGTTTTTTCCTTTTTTTTTACGATCAGCGTACAACGGGTACCTCGACCCGTTTCAAACGGTCGCCGCGCGGATCATTCTTGCCGCGAAGGCTGCGACCGATCGTTCGAGCTAACCTAACTCGTTTCGACTTATTCGATCTATTTCGATTTCGATTCGATCGTCGAGATCGTTTCGTTCCTCGATCAATCATTGACGCGTTCGCTAGCAGCGCTTATTTTAGCAACGGCCTCCTCGACTTTATTTTCTCCGATCTAATAAATCGAAAGAAAATAGAACAATGAAACTGAAATATAGGATTACGGACGTAATATGCGACGCTGGTAGCGAACGCGTCAACGAAACCCTGTTTCCTCGACACTTTGTTCGAAAAATCGGTTTGCTCGGATGTCGTAGACCTTCGAAAGTTCCCTCGTTAACATTGCAAATCGAGCCACGCACGCGTGACAGCTGCATATATTTACGGATAACAGGCATTTCTTTTTTATCCAAGGATAATCGATTCGAATAAAAGATATTCGCATCTGTAATGTTCGACGGAGTGAAAAAAGAGATAGTCGATGCCGCGGAAGACTAGAGCTGTACGATATTACGCAGCTACGGTCATAGCCACTAGGTCAGTGACTATTGCAAAAGTGAACTGACCAGTCCGGCTGGCAGTGTTCAACGCAATTGCGTAAACCAATAGGAAAAACTAAAAGTCGCCTGAAAATCTGTTTCAGCCGGCGAAGGAGGCTCGACGTGCCCGACAATTTCTCTTGTACCGCGCGCGAGCGAGCCATTAACCTATTTGTCGAGAAAGACTAGTTACCCGTCAATCGTATTCCCCTTAACCTTTCAGTGACTTTTTACTTTCCCACGGTCCGTGAATCGGTAGAAATTCCGGAATGTTCGCGCACAGAGTTAGACTGCGGATTCTCAGCGATTCCCGCGGACGCGGCGAACAATCGCGAGCAAAGTAAGCGGACGAGCAAGGACTTTCACAAAAGTCGAACGCGGACGACATTTTCTTTGACGCCCGATATCCGGTAGCCGATGACGAGCTTCCGTTCGATCCTCGTTGCCGCGGACCGTGCCGGGAAGGTGTCGACGATTCGCGTAAACATCCGCAGCCCAACTCGCTCGCGAATCGAGAAAATCGGTCGGTAAACAAAAGGAAAGCGGAGGAAGCGGTGAATACCTGATGATGAATAAGAAAACTCCGCAGAAGCATATCGACACAGCGAGAACGAAGAAAATGTTCGACAGCTCCGCCACGGACACTAACATCGCCGTCATCGTATTTAAAAGCCGTGTGT